GATGACACGATAGAAAAATAAGAACGTGTTTATCATATGGGAAGAGAGAAAAGAGAGAAGAAAAAAACATATTTTCTCTTTTTCACAGTGAACACGAACTTATATATGCAGAACGGAAAAAGTGAAACGTTCAGAAGCATTTTTATGCAAAACCAATGTGATATTCGGAATCTACGAAAAAAACTGCATCGAATGATATATAATTCGACGTGTTTTGAAAAAAAAAGTTTTCGTCCTAAATTTTAGGCAAAACACATGAGGGGGACCTCAGGCAAAAATTTCGACAGGCATTTTTTGTCTGCCTTCAAGACGAAACTTAGATGAACACCGTTTCTCGACATGCCCGATCCAAATATCGCGGTCTCCCGGCTTGAATCGTTGCGAGGAAAAAGCAGGTAGTTTTCATATGTTTGTTTCACTCACTCACTTCTAATCATAGTAAAATAATGTTAATTCTCTGTTATCGTCTTGAACATGATGATATTTTGTTATTCACAGAATTTATAGAAGAACATTGGAAAAATGTAGACAGATTGGTATGCGCTTTGATTCTATTTTGATGATTGGTGATTTCAATGCACATAACTACGTATGGTGTCCGACTAAACCATCAACAACTGAAGGCTAAAAATTGCAAAAAAACAAAAAGTGCAGGTTAAAAAGTGAGATTTCTAGAAGTGAATGCCAACATCTAATCAACATTCTGAAATTACTCTTTCTGTAGTTTGTGAAAAACTAGTAAAAACTTTTAACTCATTGAGCTTATTACATACTGTGGCTAACCATCCAGAAAAAGTACACATGTTTCGGTTTCGAGTGAAGGTTTTGAAGAAATACAGTGCATTATCACAAGTATAACAGTATCACGCTTGTTTTTAGCATTTCATCTAATACATTGTTCATTTAAGTTGATTTAAAGCTTTCTGTATACGTTTTATATACTTTTTTCGGTAATGTGGCATAATCGGTGATGATGATAAAATTTGTATTGATTTCACGAAACAATTGTAGGCAAATATTTGTTCTCCATAATAGTGAAAAATTTTACCATAAATTTCAAATTTTTCAAAATCGTTATTCATCGATTTTGAACAAAATGACCATGATTGCTCATAATTACGTTTCTCGTACCATACTTTAGCAATTCCATTTACAGCTTTTGAATGTTCAATAGAAGACTCATCAGTCATATTCAATACTTTTGTATACCATTCTACAGCTGAATCATACTGATTAACTTTGAAGTAAAGATGTGCAGTAGTCATCATTAAATATTGAATAATATCATCATCATTATCATCATCATCATCTGTATTCTTTAGTACTTCTAAAGCTGTTTTATAATGTAGAACGGCTAATTCATAGTTATACGTTCTCTGGTAACATTCACCAATTTTAACATGTAAATCAGTATTATCATATTGGTCTTTAGATACTACTAACTCTTTTTTATAATGTTCGATAGCTAAATGGTACTGTTTTTTCTTCATATACATAGTTGCTATATTTTCATGTACTTTAAAACCAACGTCAAGAAAAGAAGGGTACTGCTCCCACATTTTAAGCATTTTATTAAAATAATGAATGGCTAAATCATATTGTTCCATTTTTGAATAACATAAACCAACAAAATGATTGAAATGTGCAATAACTTTTAAATCGTAAATATTAAGATGTACATTATTTTCTTTTATAAATAATGATTTTGTTGAATATTCCAATGCCCGATGATATTGTTCAGTGATATAATAACATGAGCTGATATTATCATATAATTCACAAATTTGGATATCATCATTATCATTTGAAATTAACTCTAAAGCTTTCTTAAAATATTCGATAGCTGTAGTACAGTCTTGTTTCTTTTTATAACATTTTCCAATACTAGTATATAACGGAATTAACATTAAATCGTCTCTAGTCGTTTCAAAAATTGCTAATGCTCTCTTATAATGTTCAATTGCTAAATTATATTCTTGTTGTTCGTCATAACAATAACCTAAATGGTAATTTAATTCAGAAATTTTAACATGATTATCTTGTATTTTTAAAGCGATTTTATACTGTTTGATAGCTGAATCATATTTTTTTTCATCACGATAAAATGATCCAAGTTGTATCAAACCGATTCGTTGATAAGTAGTTATAACAAGACTAGCTTTAAAGAAAACCATTATTCGACTCGGTTCAAATATTTCAGTTAAACGATATTCATTACGTAAATCAAGTAGAAAATATTCATACGCTCGTTCCATCTGACCATATAGACGACATACATGACCAACAAGATACGTACCAATATGAATATCCTTAATGAATTATTCATTTAAGACGTTTACACTTACAATGGAATAGATTGACCAAAATCAGACAAACTTTAAAAGGTTATAATATTTTGCACCGTTCTGTCAAAAATACCCGTTTATTTTTGTATTTTTACTGACGAAGAAACATATCTATGTGTCGAATTGGTTTTGAAACTCTTCTTTCATCCTGTTTTTCGAGGACCATTTCATTTTTTGATAAAAATTCTGATTCATCGCGTTTGTAGAGGAGAACGAGTTGTGTATGCCTTAAATATTTTTTTGACCATCTAACGTGTTTCGAGAGTGCTAAGGCACATTTAATAAAACTACGAAAGAAATTGAAACAATTTGACATCTAAATAGGTTTGTTGATGAATTTTTCTGCGATTCAATGCTAAAAGTTTACTGTTTGGCGGAGGATAAAGAATCTGTCTTCTAATTTCTCCTTTAATCTTGACCTTTTGTGATGTTTTTACATTATAATGGAGCAGAGGTGAAACCAGTGCGGAAAAACGAAATGGTTATCGGTTGTCGATTTTAAATTTCAAACCGGATTTGATCTCAACAGTCGGTAATCTAGTCAAAAAGTTTAATAAAGTTGGGTGAATTTGTCAATTTTATCAAAAAATAAATTTGAAATATAATGAATGTTTTTAGATTTTAAATATCAGAATCAAGAAAAGCACTAACACTCGGCTTGGAAAAGTCACAACTTAAGTGAAGTTGCACAAAGCTCCATATGACAAAATACACAACCAATGTCTTTTCAACGTTACATACATCATTTATTTTCCTCACATTTTCTTTTCCTTCTATTAATATTTGTATGTTATATGATTCAGTGTGTCCTTTATTTAATACGTCATTCATTCTTTGTTCATCTCTCACCCAATCTTCTCTCGTATTTCACGTACATTACTATTCAGCCAATGAGGAAACATACTGCAATCGGGATATAGCCCAAGCAGACAAACTTTTTCGAAAACGCGTTTAAGCGCACAAAAAAAGACGAAAAATCTAGAAAAAGTGGGCGTGTTTGGATGACAATCGGGGTTCCCGACTGTGGGCGAAAAATGCCCATTTTTCCCCCTTCTGGTGCGTTTTCAGCCAAAAAATGCATAAAAAAACCGGTCGTTTTTTTCATACTCGAGAACCCTAATTGTGATCCCGTCACTGGTAACGACTATGAGAAAAACGACCACTTTTTCTCTTTTTTTTATGCATTTACACGAGTTTTGGGCTGAAAACGCGTTTAAACGCACCAGAAAGGTGCGTTGAGCGAAAAATGGGCGTTTTTCGCTCACAGTCGGGAACCCCGATTGTCATCCAAACACGCCCACTTTTTCTAGATTTTTTGTCTTTTTCTTGTGCGCTTAAACGCGTTTTCGAAAAAGTTTGTCTGCTTGAGAGGTTTTTGAATAGTCACTTTTGTTTGAAAAAAAGCTTGCTGACGGGAAGAAAGACTTAACCATGAGGAAAAAAGAATCTAGTGTAGTTTTTCCTCCTCTTTCTAATGCTGATGACAACATTTTCCGCGAACAGTATCATTTTTTCCCTAACGAATTTTATTTAAAAAAATCGACTTTATATCCTGGTTGGGCTATAAGTTTTTTGACTATATCCTGATCAGGACATATTTGGATTCACAACGGTATATATATCCCGATCGGGATACAGAACATGCGTCTCTACTGTCAGTATGCAAATAACTACAAAAATATTTTGTTTTCTAGACCGCCAAAAATCGGGGCCCGTCTTTTTAAGCAAATGGTATCAGACCAGCGCAGTAAACCGGTCAGTAGCTGGCAGATCCGGTTTCGGCTCGGTAAAGAAGAGTTTAGCTCTTGCTGTCATAAACATCGAATTTAGTAAAGAAAAATTGAAGCAGCTAGACTTGAGCATATTTATCCAACATAGTCACTGTGATCGATCAGTCATCCATACGTTTTGCCTATAGGTGATTCTATTCACAGCGAAAAAGCATAATAAATGAACCGTTGGCAGTTGAAATTCTTGGCATTTTTCCTAACTATCAAGCAGTAGAATCTTTATCTCCAAAATGGTATTTGCACAAACATTGTACACCGTTCTGAAACATATCAAAAAGAGAAGCACCCTACCACCCATATAGTCTGTGATTCTAAATGGAACCAGTTATCACTCAAATACGAATGAACAACAGTACAACGCTGATACATTATAACGGCCGGATCTCATCAGATGGAGTCGTGTAATAAACTAACAATTCATGAAAA